TAACAAAAAAGGGAGAGAGAAAAAAACACACACACAAAACCTTCATTTGGCCAGATCTGGCTCCTAATACATTTAACCAATTCCAGAATGAGAAAGCCTTTTCTGTACATTTTCTCCTATTTTGCTCTCTTTTTTTCCCCCTTACATAATGAAATTAAAACTTTTGGAGCCCACAGTTGACATTTTTCAGAAAATTGAGTTATCAAGGCAGTAATTATTTCACAGGGAGATAAAACTCTCATAGCCCTAACTGTCAAATAGGGCCCTTTTCAGATTTTAATTACAAAATAAAATCAGTCTGCTCTTCCTCAGAATGGTTTGTGAGTGGTTAAACAGAGCTTTCCCCCCCAATACTGGTGGTCGTCGTCAAACTCTGCTAATTAGCAATGCTGAGAAATTCCAGTTAACAAGGACATTCTCCAGGACTCTGCAGGTTCCCTGCCGTTTGCCTTCATTTCCATAAGAAGATTAAGAGAGGAGGGGAACACACTCAAATGCAGATGCAGAAAAGAAGCGGTTTTTTTTTTTTTTTTTTTTTTTTTTTTTTTTTTTTTTTTTAACAAGCATCATAATAGTAAGATGCTTGGCTAGTTCTCACCTAATTACTGCAAGTTAAACCTCTATTTGCCACTAAGAAGAAAAAATAAGTCTACAGTCCCCTATCCACAAAACTGTTAGTTGGCTTCAGATATAATACTTGAGGAGGGATGAGGAGGCGTTCAGGAGAAAAATATCAAGGCAAAAGGTTTTTAAATAAAATTGAGCTACACTTAATCAGTTAAGGATTTTTTGGCTGGGGCCTATGGTAGAACAGAATCAAATGTGAATAGCCCAGGAATTAGGCATTTTTATTCTTAATTTCTCATCTTGCTCTAAAGTGTGCCGCTTTTTGTGCCCACTCTCTTCAGATTAAGCACTTCCAATTGTCATAAATTGTGCCAATGGCAACATTTTAAATGTGGGAATCTGGAGCACCCTCTTCCAAGTCTTATTTTGATTCCCTAGTAGTCAATAGTGTGTTGTTATGAGTACTGGAGCCGTCTGTTTTAAACCTAAAACAGTACTGTTTCTATCATCTATTGTGATTGTTAAAGTTATTATTATATTTAGGTGCCGGAGATAGTGCTGCATTGAAATAGAGTGGCCGGTTTTAATTTTTTTAATGCATATGTTCTAAAAAAAAAAAAAGTCTAATGAGAAAATTATTTCTGCTATCACCATCTTCCTTAATCTTACTTTCATAGCACATTATTATGCATAAACACCAGCCACAGTTAGTTCATTGCCTTGATAAGTACTGGAGGCTTAATTAAAATAAAGCTGTAAATAAATGCAACCAATGATAACACAATTGTACTGTATTTCCATGGCTTATTTATATGATAAAAACAATTAGCAAAAGACCTAGACATCCCCTTTAACCTCTTAAATGAATTATTATAGAATTAAGGCACAAACACATGCATCTGAGAATGTATTAAAACTTTTACATATTATCCCAAGGAAAAAATTGTAACATTACCGAGAGAGAGAGAGAGAGAGTGAGAGAGAGAGAGAGAGAGAGAGATTAAAAACATTTGCTTCTATAACCATCTGTTATTAATATTTATTCTAATATACATATACCACCAATACCCACACCACTTCTTGGTTTTGTCTTCAAACTTAATTAGCCATAAGCTCTTCCCCCTAGTTTTTGGAATAATGCTACTAAGCACAGACCAGCACATACACAATCATAAAATGAATGCTTGTTTTGCCCTTCGTGGTGTCTGGACAATCATAATTCATTCATATGTTGAATCTCATAATTTGTACCTCATTTTTCCATAGTTTAACCTCCCACTTGTCTAGAGGTTATATATGTACGTTTCTAAGTTAAGCAAATTAAATCTGACTCTTATGATTTGGTTCCATAGCTTATATGATATGTTAACTTCTCTTTTGTTTAAATTACATGTAATTAATTTGATCTTCCTCCCATCCCCCCTCCTTTTTTTTTTTTTTCCTTCTTTATTTCCAAACACCTTTTAAAGGTAAAAGCCATAGTGTTGGGAAAGCGAATCCACCAGTAGGGGGCGCACCAGCCACATCCCAGAAACGGAGACGCACTGAAAAGCCAGTCTCCAGATCCACGCAACCTTTTCTCTTTCCTAGTCTTCGTGTCCGAGATTAGCTTACTATTATACCTCGAATAAACAGAAGACATTGTTTTATTTTGATGAGTGGCATATTTATGCGTTTCGAGAAGCCTGTTTCTTCCTTCCCAGGTTCCCAAGAACTAAAAGAAAACAAACCATAACTTAAAGAGGAAAAGGAGAGGAGGGGGGTGGGAGTAGGGGTTGATTGGAAATGATAATTTAAGACAAAGTCTACTGCAGAATTCTGTTTCTCAACTTTTCTGCGTCTCCAGTGAGCGAGCATGTTTATCTTGAGGCTACCAAGAGCAGAAAAGCTTGGGAGGGCAGAGATTGAAGGCTGCGGGTAATGACGGTTTAGGGGAAGGTTAGTGAGGCACAAAAACAATGCAAAGTTTTGTAAGGATAATAAATGGAACGTGGCCGACAGATACTATTCAGTACGTTTTCTTAGGATGCGTAAGGGGGGATCAGGGGACTGAGGGGGCGGAGAGGGTGTTACAGAAGAAAGAACATAAGTAACCCCGATGGTTTAAGCCCTTTCTTAAAAAGAAATGGCATCAGGGATTTTTTTTTTCTCCTCACCCTCTCTCCCCCCCCCCCCCATCCCCACCCTTTGTAGTCAAGTGCATTTTAGCCACAAAGATCCCAACAAGAGAGTGGAAGGAAACTTAGACGGGGCTTTGTTTGGCTCCGTGTAGCGACAAGAGAAACAAAACTACCTATTTGTAACGGACGTGCTGCCATTGCTCTCCGCATTGAGCGCCTACCTATTGAAATCTTTACGTCGGGACAATGGGAGCGCGGCTAAAATTACCCTCTTGGGTCCTGGGCGGGCAGGATTGGTGAGCCCCAACCCCCGCCCTCCTCATCCCCTCGGATCCCAGCCCCTGGCCTTTGCTGGGCTCCCCTTTTCCCCTAGTCCTGGCCGCCCTCCTCCTGCGCGCACTGCCTGCACCTGTGCCTGGCGAGCATCACCCGGCCTCCCAGACCTAGACCTCGCCCCCCCACCCCTCTCCCAGCTCAGCCTGCAGACCCGGGCGCACCGTCGGGGCAATGCAATCAACTTGGGGGTGGGAATGCCAGGGCTGGTTCTGCTCGCGTCCTGGAAACTCAGCGTGGGAGGAGGGAGTTGGTGTGTGCGGGCCCCAATGCCACCTCCACAGAGCCGCCGTGACACGCCGGGAAGCGAAGCTAACGCTCCCCATCGCCTGCACTTCTGAGCGTCCTTCGGCTCAGCGCTTTCATCCCGGCCTCCTTTTGAAAGCCGCACATCGAAAATCCTCCTCTGGGGGCGACCCAGCGGGAGGATGGGGAGAGAGAGAGAGTGAGCATCCCCTTTGCACCGGCTGAATGGAGCGAGGCTGTGGGAGCTGTGGTTGGGGGGGAAGCTGACAAGCTGAGCTGAGCTGAGCTGAGTTGGGCTGGGCAGGGCAGGACAGAGCGTGGTCGCGGCAGCTACCCTAGGGCCTGGCCCAGCCTCAGCTCCGCACGCATTCGCCCTCCTTGTCCCAGAGCAGGACTGCTTTAAAGAGAGAGAGAGAGAGAGAGAGAGAGAGAGAGAGAGAGAGAGCGAGCAAAGTGCATGGAAGCTATTAGGAGGGTTTTGAGGACAGAGCTTTCCGCCTCCTAACTTCTTCTTCTGGTCGGACAGTGTGAGGTCGGGGGTGAGCGTGTGCGGGCCACTGTGGAGAAAAGGGCGGCGGGCATGGGAGAAGCGCTGGAGGGGTTGGAGGTTTTTTTTGGGGGGAGAAGCCTGCGGAGGAGCGGGAGAACAATCACACACCCACTCCGGCGCTGCCCGGTTCCTGAAACACTAGTAGGGATAGTCGCCCTGAGCCACCCACTCGGCCCTGCCCCACCCCCACCCCACACACCTTAGTGGCTTCTCGAGCCCCTTCCCCAGCTCATCAGCCCGCCTGCACCCAAAATCAGTACATCAGCCCTAAGTGTAAAGGGGGAAAAAGAAAAGGGGGGAAAAAATCTGTCTTGGTGCTGTTTACCCACTTTCTTCGAAAAGGCGTGTGGGGTGACCTGTTGCTGCGAGAGGGGATACAAAGGTTTCTCAGTGGCTTCCGGGCTGGCTGTGGGAGCCGCTTCCCCCTCCCTCCCCTCCCTCCTCCTCCCTCCCGCTCCCTCCCCTCCCTCCTCCCCCCGCCTCCCCCGCGGCCCGCGGCGCCGCAGGCCCCGCCCCCTTTCATGCAAAACCCGGCGGCGAGGCCGCGCTCGAGTGGAGGAGCCGGCGCGCGCTGATTGGCCGCCGGGAACCCATTTATTCCCTGACAGCCCCCATCACATGGACGGTTGTCTATTAACTTGTTCAAAAAAGTATCAGGAGTTGTCAAGGCGGAGAAGAGAGTGTTTGCAAAAAGGGGGGAAAGTAGTTTGCTGCCTCTTTAAGAACCGGGGAGGACTGAGAGAAAGAAGAAGAGGAGCCGAGGAGAGAAGAGAAAGAAAGGGAGAGGAGAAGTTTGAGCCCCAGGCTTAAGCCTTTCCAAAAAAAATAATAATAATAATAATAATAACAATCATCCTCGGCGGCGGCGGCGGCGGCGGCGGCGGCGGCGGCAGGATCGGCCAAGAAGAGGAGGGAAGCGCTTCTTTTTTTTTTTTTTCCTTCTTGATCCCGATTTCCAGTTTGCCTCTCTCTTTCTCTCTCTCTCTCTCTTTTTCTTTCCCCCAAATTATTCTTCCGTCTGACTTTTTTTTTGCTTGCGGAGCTTTGCTGCGCTCCCGACACCCCCGCCCGCCGCCTCCCTTCCTCTCCTCCCCCGCCCGCCCGCCCGCGGGCCCCCAGAGTCCCGGCCGGGCCGAGCGAGGGTCGGCGGCCGCCGGCGGGCCGGGCCCGCGCACAGCGCCCGCATGTACAACATGATGGAGACGGAGCTCAAGCCGCCGGGCCCGCAGCAAACTTCGGGGGGCGGCGGCGGCGGCGGCGGCGGCGGCAACTCCACCTCGGCGGCGGCGGCGGCGGCGGCGGCGGGCGGCACCCAGAAGAACAGCCCGGACCGCGTCAAGCGGCCCATGAACGCCTTCATGGTGTGGTCCCGCGGGCAGCGGCGCAAGATGGCCCAGGAGAACCCCAAGATGCACAACTCGGAGATCAGCAAGCGCCTGGGCGCCGAGTGGAAACTCTTGTCGGAGACGGAGAAGCGGCCGTTCATCGACGAGGCCAAGCGGCTGCGGGCGCTGCACATGAAGGAGCACCCGGATTATAAATACCGGCCGCGGCGGAAAACCAAGACGCTGCTGAAGAAGGATAAGTACACGCTGCCCGGCGGGCTGCTGGCCCCCGGCGGCAACGGCATGGCGAGCGGGGTCGGGGTGGGCGCCGCCGGCCTGGGCGCGGGCGTGAGCCAGCGCATGGACAGCTACGCGCACATGAACGGCTGGAGCAACGGCAGCTACGGCATGATGCAGGACCAGCTGGGCTACCCGCAGCACCCGGGCCTCAACGCGCACGGCGCGGCGGCGGCGGCGGCGGCGGCGCAGATGCAGCCCATGCACCGCTACGACGTGAGCGCCCTGCAGTACAACTCCATGACCAGCTCGCAGACCTACATGAACGGCTCGCCCACCTACAGCATGTCCTACTCGCAGCAGGGCACCCCGAGCATGGCGGCGCTGGGCTCCATGGGCTCGGTGGTCAAGTCCGAGGCCAGCTCCAGCCCCCCCGTGGTTACCTCGTCCTCCCACGCCAGGGCGCCCTGCCAGGCCGGGGACCTCCGGGACATGATCAGCATGTACCTCCCCGGCGCCGAGGTGCCGGAGCCCGCCGCCCCCAGCAGACTGCACATGTCCCAGCACTACCAGAGCGGCCCGGTGCCCGGCACGGCCATCAACGGCACACTGCCCCTCTCGCACATGTGAGGGGGTCGTTCGTACCCGTGGACTGCAAAAGAGGGGATTTTTGTGTTTTTTTCTTTCAAAGCAAAAACGAGAGGGGGCGGAAACAGGAGGAGAGGACGAAGCAGCGTGGAGGGGGGAAAAAAAAAAACAACAACCCGGTATGCTCAAAACAAAACAAAACAAAAAAAAGTGATCACCCACAGCATATGACATCTGTCTGCAAAAGAGAACACCGATCCCATCTACACTCACACACACATTCACACACAAAGCCGCGATGCCGACAAGAAAACTTTTATGAGAGATCCTGGACTTCTTTTGGGGGGACTATTTTTGTACAGAGAAAACCGGAGGGGCGGGGTGGGGAGGGCGAGGGGATGGACCTTGTATAGATCTGGAGGAAAGAAAAAAAAAACTACGCAAAACTTTTTAAAAGTTCTAGAGATACGGTAGGAGCTTTGCAGAAAGTTTGCAAAAGTCTTTACCAGTAATATTTAGAGCTAGTTTCCGAGCGACGGGGAAAAAAATGTTTTAATATTTGCAAGCAACTTTTGTACAGTATTTATCGAGATAAACATGGCAATCAAAATGTCCATTGTTTATAAGCTGAGAATTTGCCAAAATTTTCCAAGGAGAGGCTTCTTGCTGAATTTTGATTCTGCAGCTGAAATTTAGGGCAGTTGCAGCCGTGAAAAGAAGAGAACTATTCAGATTTGGACATTTTAATTGTTTAAAAATTGTACAAAAGGAAAAAAAAACACACTAGGATATGTACTGGTAAAACTATCTCCGTGGTCTTTAAAGGGGGAAAAAAAAGTTTTAGATTGTACTAAATTTTTTTAACTTACTGTTAAAAGCAAAAATGGCCATGAAGGTTGTCATCATTGGTAATTTATAATAGCTTTTGTTTCCCAACTTTCCATTTTGTTCAGATTTAAAAAAAAAAAAAAGAAATTACTGTGTTTGAAATATTTTCTTATGGTTTGTAATATTTCTGTAAATTTATTGTGATATTTTAAGGTTTCTTCCCTCCTCCCCCTTTATTTTCCGTAGTTGTATTTTAAAGATTCGGCTCTGTATTATTTGAATCAGTCTGCCGAGAATCCATGTATATATTTGAACTAATACCATCCTTATAACAGGTACATTTTCAACTTAAGTTTTTACTCCATTATGCACAGTTTGAGATAAATAAATTTTTGAAATATGGACACTGAAATTATTCTTGAGTCTTTCATTTATTTGGTTAACACTGCTCAGACATAACTCCTCAGGAAATATTTTGCTGTGCACAGCCAAGAAAGCAAAATAACTAAGACCTTGGTATTCTGTCCCAGTAGCATGTGCTAATGTTAACAGCAACAAATATGTGTCTGGATGATTAGTAAGTACTGGAAAAAATTAAAATGCTCGTGTCATTTCTAAAACAGAAACTAAAGATTGTAAATTCACACCCCCCCCTCCTTTTTCTAAGCAGCATGATGGGGACTTAAACTGATTTGTGCCACTTGTTGCCTGATAGGAGTCCATTCTGAAATTTTTCGTGTAGTTTAGCAAATGGGGTATTGAGTCAAATCGGGACCAGGTTGGCTGGTTTTGTTTTCGTTTTCTTCACAGTACAATGGCCTTTTGGAAATGTGGTTACAGGGGGAAATGCTTCTTGTGTTGGAATAATTGCAAACTAGACATGCAAAGTGCTCATCTGCTGGGTGGTGGGTGTTTGGATGACTCCAGCCCTGCTATTGTCTGAGAGGAAACAAGTGGTTTGCTTTCTTTGTTCCTTGACTTCATAAACTTTCTCCTCTACGTTTTCCTGTTTAGGGGTGAGAGAAAGCGAAGAGCGTCTCGCAAAAACGCCTGACTTGCCACGGCTGCTATTATTATTATTATTATTTATTTTATTTTTTTTTCCTCTCTCCCCCTCCACGAATTCCATTTCTTAAATTGGCTGCGCGGGTCCAAGCCTGTAGCCCCAAATCGGATAATCTCTGCAGCTGATAACAAGCAAAAAAGAAGCCAGGCAACAGACATAATAAAGAAGAAAACAACTCCGAGGTAGATATTTTAACTTGTCCGATCTAATCACATGTAGAGATTATTATGCTTTTGATCTGTTAACCATGTTTTACTACTAGTAATAGGGAGGGAGGGGGAGGGGAAGGGGTGGAGAAACAAGATTGGATTTGTTGTTTTCTTTTGCCCTAGGAAAGGTTAAAGAAAGCCTATAGTTGTCCTCAGTGGGAGCGGAGAAGTCGGGGAGTCGCTATGTTCTTTGCCTTCGCGATGTTTCTGCATCACAACCGACTCGCGCTTTGGCGCTGCCAGAGAATCAATCCTGTAAGAGCGACTCCGGGGGACTTTTCTTCTTTATTTACTACTTAACCTCGCTCAGCTTTCCCCGCCGAAGGAGACCAGGAACCGAGAGTCAGGCAGGCATTCTTAAAAGCGTGGTTTTGCTTCCCACAGTTTCCAATGTGTGTGTGTGTATGTGTGTGTGTGTGTGTGTGTGTGTGTGTGTCAACTTGTTACAACTTTGGAGAAGTTGAAATCCGGCAGCGCCTTCCAGCCTTGAGTCTCAAGTACCGGCTGCAGCCACGCAGTTAGCTCATCCGGGTGGTTTGCACCTTCTCGTTTTCCAAGAAAAGTCTTTCTTACTCGTGCTGTTGTTCATGGTTAGTTCTGGGGCCAGCTGAGGCTATCTTTTTTATTTTCTGTATTTTTATCTCATGTGGATTGCTTTATTTTCAGGACATATTGGTTTTTATTTATTCCTTCCTTATCCTCATTTTTTTTTTTAGGGTAATATTGTACTGGGAAAGGAAAATTATTATGCACGTTCCCAATTCCAATTCTAAGCCAGGTATTTCCTCTCCCCCCCCCCCCTCATTAATGCAGAGACTCTGAAAGAATTTCCCCAGCCTGGCCAGCCATTGTAATGCATATATGGATTATTCACGTGGTAATGAGCACTTTCGGCAGTTCTTGCTCACACGTTGGAATAAAAGAAACTTTGAATAAAGATCCCAATGATCTGGCTCTGGGGGGCTGGGGAGGATATTCCCGGAATTTGAGCCCATCGACTATCTAAAGTGTATATACTGGAAAGTAGAGATATATTACAAATACGTATTGGGGTTTAGAGTAATTGTACCGCGTTAACCTCTTTTAAAAAGAGCCCACAGAAGCAGACTAAAAAGAGCAACAACTTTTTGGCAAAAATTCTGAGGTTCAAATATTTTGCAAGAGGGAAGAAAGCAATGGCTGGGGAAGTTAAACTAGTTTTGAATGATTGCCACTGTGTGCATAAAAAAAAGAGAGCTCCCATTCTCCCGTCCCTCCCTAGTCCCTAACCAAATAAAAGCCCAAATACATTATTTGTAAATATAAATTATTTTTGACAAACTGCACTTAAGGAAAACGATTCACGTTACATCGTTCATTTGATTGGGTAAACTGGTTCCCCAAGACGTGCAGTTTCCTGGCTAGATTACTATGCAACATATACTATTTTAATTATAACGTGATTCCCGAGAAGGGGGTAAACCCTTCAACTTGCCCAGAAGTGGCCATTTCCTGATGCTGAAGTTGTTCAGTGCCTTCCTTGGGATATTATTCTGCTCAATAAAACCATTTAATTTTCAGTCTAAGGGGGTGGATTTAATGTTTTGTTAACCTATACACCGAATGGAAACGGGCAGAAGGATGAGATTATAGTGTGCTCCCCCTGCCATGTGTCCTCTGCCCCCCAGCCCTCCCTCCATACTTTAAATAAAGAGCGTTAAAATATTTTTGCTGAGCTGTAGTAGATTAGCAAGGTTTCTTGCCAATGCTGGGAAGCTGGTATTACAGACGGTCCCAGGGGGAAATGGCTCACATTAACCACTAAATGAATATTTGACAAGGGCTCATTCGGAGGTATTATTACTATAAACGTGTCCCTACTGGACTTTTTCAAGGGTCAAAGAGCAACGCTTCAATTAATTATTTAGTCTGCTAGTAGATTTGGTTGTAATAGCTGTACTTATTTCTAGAACCAACACATTCTTACGGTGGGAAATCTCAGGAGGATCTCCTCCATCAGCAATGCCTTGAATTGAAATACACCCAGAGCCCTGGTATTCTGTAGCTGACTTTTTCATAAATCCTTTTCTTGGGCTGGAGAGTGGGGGGATAGTCTCTTTTGCTATTTCATTTACTGTTTGGGGTTTAGAAGAAAGGAGGGAGGGAAAAAGAACACAAGTTATCTTAATTTCTACATGCCTGGCCAGGGCTTTTAGGGCCTTGCAATTTGGGATGGGAGGGGAGGGGCTTTATTTATAAACTTTGCCTTTTGTAAGTAGCTATGTCACAGGATTTCAGACTCAGGCAGGGTGTGAATTTAGAAAGGGGGCGCATTACTGTTGACCAATACAATTTGGGTTTTTAAATGGAAGCTGAGTGCTCTGAGATCTAGTCGCCTCAAAGTAAATTGGGGTACTAGATAGTCCCTCCTCCTTTCCTTCCCACCTATTGGTCTGAACACTTCCAGGTGTAGTGGGGGCGGGGGAAAAAGGGGGGGGGTGACTGTTCTATTCCTGCGTGTCCTCCCGGGCCCTAGGTTAAATGGTAGGGGAATGATTCTGAGAGTAAGATTCCTTAACAATACTATAAGGTGAATGACTACTAAGAGATAAGCTGCAAGTGTGTGTGTGGGGGGGGGGGGGGGAGATGGGATGCAGTAGTTACAAACCCAATTCATTCAGCTTTTCAGAACTTTTGTTGTGGGAGCTCCATTGACGGGATTTAAGCTGCCAGTTTTCTCACATTAAAAAGAACTGATCAGTGCCTCCGGGGGACAAGAACTACCATTTAACTGCATGGTGATGGGGTCTTCATTCAGAACCATTACAAGGAGAAAATTAAACAGCGCCTTTGTGCGCACGAGGTTTACTTTCCAACTGCTAGCAGTCTATCGCTAACTGCCCTGAGATTGAAGTTTGACTGTGGTTTGTCACCTACTAGTTGGCACTGCTTGTTTATTT